CCCCTGCTCTAACCCCCCACATATTCGTGAAGCAGGGGTCCAGAGAGGGTGGGGAAAGCCTGCCTAGAATTGGGGGTCCTGGGGATTTGTGGGAACAAATGCCATGCCAAGCTAGCAATTCCACACCTGTGAGACCAGGCGTACAAGGAAGGACATACAAGACTGCTTCATGCAACAACAACAAAGGGCAGTGCTGTCCAGAGCAACTGGGAGCATATGGCCCTCCCCATTGCTCAGGGGCGGTTGGCCCCATGGTCGTCAGTGCCTTCTCCTCACAGAGCCCAGAGCTGTTGGGGCAACTATGTGCCGATGCCATCCAACACACAGCACCAGAGAACCAGGCCCTTTGCAGAAGGTGACAAAAGTATACTGTGTGTCAGCAAAGCTCGGAGCGCCAGAGCTGGCTGGTGGGCAGGTGCACCTACAGCCACGAAGACAAACCAGATGGGGACTCCCAGCTCTGGAGGATTGGGGGGGGGGTCCTCACATGGACCCTGCACCAGGGGGGCCCATTTGTTTTCTTGGAACAGCTGGAGGAAGGATGGGAAACCGCCAAGCTTTGGTAACATGTGGCGGTGGGCAGAGACAATATGTTTGCTCGGTGATTTTCTCTGCTTCTGCTTCTGTTGGGGGGATAGTTCACAGTTGGGAGGGAGGCAGAGAGGGAGGGAGGGTCAGGAGGAAAGGGAGGAAGGAGAGAAGAGAGAGAAGGAGAGGAAGGAGGGAGGGATGAATAGGGGGCAGAGAGAGAAAGGCAAGTACTCTATAACAAAACTATAATGCAGGCGGTCTCCTGCCAACGCCGCACAGAATCAATATTGCTTTGAAATTCTATTTGGACTCTTTCTGTAAATTAAGCTGTGTCTATCCATCCCCTCGATCTTGTCTCATCCCAGAGCTACGGGGCAGGATAGAGCCATCCCGTAGGATTTGCCAGGCTGTCAGTCATGATGGGAGCAGACTGCCTTGACTTTTCTCCCACGGCAGCCAGGTGCTGGGTTCACACTGCCAACCTTCTGGCCAGCAGCTGGGCACTGTCAGCACTGTGCCCCCCAAGCCATACCCACAGCGGTTGCTTCCCTAACTGTGCCAACAGGGCTTCTGCTACATGCCCAGAGCGCCTTAAAAGTTTCTCTCCTCCTCCTCCTCCTCCTCCTCCTGCCCTTCTTAAAGGAGGCCTGATATGTTGTTCAGTTTGTGGAATGCAAAACTGATGATCTGGTATGTGAACCCCACCTAATCCACAATAAAAAGTTAAATATATGTTAACACACACACACACACACACACACACACACACACACACACAC